GTGACCTTTTCAGAAGAAGAAATCCTTATAAATATTTCTAAGGTATTCATGTTATTATAAAACCACTACTGACTGGATTTCTCTGGGAATAAGATGTTCTGGTTAATTCAATTTTCTGTTGAACTAAGCATTACTGGATAAAGCCATTTTATTTTTGTACACATTGTTAAAATGGTTTATATAATCTCTTGGGGCACTTTTTTCTAGGCTAGGTAAAGTATAGTGGACAGAAAAAACCCTTTATATGACAATTTACAATTTGATGATATTGTGTATGGAGTAACTGAGAGGTATGTGAAAGGGAACTAAGTCCATAATTAACACCAACTGATAGAATTTGTAGATTGATTATCCCTGTATAAAATTATCTGTCTCAACATCCTTTCCTGTGTATATTAACTCAAGTCAATTCCTTATGGTTATAGTATGATTGTTATCTATTATCCTTAAAAACAATTATAATACAAGATCACTGTAAATTTTCAGGGAGAAAGTCCTTCCAAATTTGAATGAATTCAATGGAATATTAAGAAAAATAAATCTCAAAATTAAAAAAGGAAATTGTGAGGTGTGGAAAGCATATTATCTTTATTTTTAATGAATGAATCTGACAATTATACTTTGTCAGACAGATAAACATATGAGGACTTTAAACAATTTTCTGTTTTTTCATCACTTAATATTTGGTGTTGAATTTTCTTATAATTTGAGTAGGCATATATTTTTCTGATTTTATGGAGTGTGGATCTTAGAAATCTGAATGTTCCTATGTCTGACCTTTCCAACATTATTTAACTTCTTGGAGTTAAGGAATTATCAGCAGAAAGTTAGTCAAGTCTAGTTCATTGTAGCTACATATTCATTAATCCTTAGATCATGTAGCTGGAGACAGATGAAAGACAGGAGTTTTCTACTTCTGGCTGAAAAATCTGGAAAGAACATTGTTCTGATTTAAACAATGAGTTAAAGGTAAATAAACTGCAAAATCATAACATTTATTGAGCCTATCAGATATCTGAGATTGCAGTCCAGCCAAATTATTTGAATTCCAAAGAGAATATACTCGTAACAGAGGAGACAGTTTGCAAGAACAAGTTTCCCTGGGGCAAAGAAGAGAGCACTTCAAAGTTGTCATCAAAACAAATTTTAAAACATTAGGTGATTTTTTTATATCAAACTATTAAAGAATATCAGCTGGCTTCCATGGGAGCCTGGAAAAATTGGGGGTACATACACTGCCTTGCAAGCTTTTTTCATAAGCTTCTCTCATTAACTCGAGAGAATCCAATGGCAATGTAGAACAAAACGGGCCCTTCCGGTTGTGAAAGATTGCGGAAAATGAGCTACAGTTGCTTTCAGGAAATACACAAAGTCCTATCTCCTTCCTCTAGGCTCTTTTCCTGTGAAACAAAAGTCTATAATTCCTAAAGGAGGAGCAATAATTCATCAACTCAAGAGCATTATAAAAGACTCATTGTCACTCTGAAAAGGACAGAGGAAAATTTTCTCTACCCTACAGTATGAGAAAGAAAATCACCTTGAGCCCAGAATCCTGTATCTAGGCCGAAACTGGGTAGGATCAGAGAATACCTGAAGGTGAACTGCAGAACAAGTGAATAATTTAGCTGGCACGGGGAGAAGCAGTAGGGTTGCCGAGAATGCTCTCCACCTTTCCTTCTTGTGAAGCTGGGAACACAGGATGTATCTAAGCTGAGGATGAATCTGGACGAGAAAGAACCCTTGTCTGCCCCCATCAGGAATAGCACAACAGACCAGAGCACTGGTGAAGAACAATAGTGTGGACTGAGACTCCCTTTGCAGTGTAGGTTTGCAGAGATTATGAAAGTTGTTCGGCTATCCAATCTTCCACAAAGTGTTAATAAACATATATTGGAGAAAAGATAACCTCTTTAACAAATGACACGGGGAAAATTGGCTATATCTATGCAGAATATTGAATCTCCAACACTATTTTTCAACATGTAATAAACTAAAATGCAAGTCTAACAGACCTATGTATTAAAACAAAAACTCTTAATTTTCTGGGAAATAAAATGGATAAAATTCCTAAAGACATAGATGTAGGCTTTCAGACTTTCAGAACGGAACCCCAATTGCACCAAAAATAAACAAATAGGAACATATCAATTAAAAAGTTTTTGCTCAGCGAAGGAAACAACCAACAGAGAGAAGAGAATGGGTTATTCCTGAGCTAAAAGACTAATCCCTAGTGTATATAAAGAACTCAAAGAAAACCCTCCCAATTAAAAGACCCAATCAAAAAGTGGACAACAAAAATAAATAGACACTTCTGAGAAGAACTGCAGATGGCCAATAAATATATGAAAAAATTGCAACATCTTTGACCATTAGAGAGACGCAAATTAAAACAACACTGAGATTCTATCTTACTCCAGAAAGAATGGGTGTCATCAAGAAATCAAGCACCAAATGCTGGTAAGGCTGTAGGGAAAAAGGAACATTTCTATATTGTTGTTAGGAATGTAAACCGATGGAACCAACCACTATGGAAATCATTATGGAGATTCCTTAAAAAACTAAAAATAAAAATTCCATTTGGCCCAGCTATCCCCTTTCAGGTATATTTCTGAAAGTTAAAGACATTATATTACAGCAATACATGGATTCTTAAGTTTATAGAACCACAACTAACAATAACTAAATCCTGGTAGCAGCCTATTTCTCCACCACCAGGTCAATTAGTAAAGAAAATGTTGTATTTATACACAATGGAGCATTGCTCTGCCAATAAAAAGGATGAACTTGAGTCATTTTTAGGAGATTGTAATGTCAAGCAAAATAAATCAGACACACAAGCTTAAATATTGCATGGTTTCTCTTATATGGGCAATCCAAAGTATAAATAAATTAAAAAGCAAAAGAAAAGATAGATGATAGAAGATAGGGATATAGATCTTTTGCAAAGGAAAAAGGACTAAAAGAGAGGGAGAGAGAGGAGGGAATGAGGATAAAATGTATTAAGATGTGTTATGTACATTTACCAGCTGCCCACGATGAATGTAATTGTTATGTACTGCAAATATGTACTAATCAGAAAAAGAAAGTTGAGAGCGGATTGTGAACACAAAGAATTACAAAATGTAAAAGCAACATCTCTCTGGCACTCCAGTCACCAAACTGAGCACAAGGCCATCATCCTGCTGTAAGAATGGGAGGCCCAGGATAAACCAATGAAGAAATAACAGCAGCAAAATCCCAAGATTGTTCCACTGAAAATGTCTACATAACTCAGAAAAGCAGAAAAGTTCAGCTAAGGGAAAACAAATCAAAAGTAAGAGGAAAAGTAACAAAATAAGAGAGTAATAGCATAATTCTAAATATCAATAATTATATTAGATGTAAAGTCAAAACAAACCAATTACAGTGCAGCTGTTGTTAAAATGGATAAAAAGGTAATAATAAAATATATACTATTTCAAAAAGTCACTTAATATAATGATAAAAATAAGTTAAAAACAAAAATATGGAAGAAAATACACCATAGAAACACTAATGAGAAGAAAACTGAAATGAGGAAATGAATATCAGACAAAGTAAACTGTAGAGCAGAGATATTTAGCAGGCGTATAGAGAGGTTTTATGTAATAATTAGTCAATTCTCCAAAAAGAAAAATCTTAATTGGATAGGTACCAAACAATAGAGCTTCAAATTTATCTAAAGCTAGTTGTTTATATTCTTTGGAAAAAATGTCTATTCATGTCCTTTACCCATTATTGAGTCCAATTGTTTAGGTTGTTTTACTGTTGAGATTTCAGAGTTCTCAATGTATTATGGATATAATTGATTGTATTATGTATACAATTTGCAAATATTTTCTTCCATCGTACAGCATATAGTTTTTCTGTGTTGATAGAATCTTGAAGTACAACTTTTAAAAACTTTTTACAAAGTCTAATTTGTGTCTTTTTTTATTTCTTTTGGCACCTGTGCTTTTGGGATCATATTCAAGAAATCATTGCTAAATCCAGTCTTGTGAAATGTTTGTTCCATGATTTTTTCTATGACTTCTTTTAGATTTAAGTCTTACATTTAAACCTATGACCCATTTTGAGTTACTATGTGCACATGCTATTAATTAAGGATACAACTTCATTATTGTATGTGGATATCCAGTTTTCCTGACACCATTGGTTGAAAATCCTATCTATGCCCCATTGAATGGGTTTGACATTGCAGTCCAAAAAGCATTTAGTAACATACATCAGGATTTATTTACCAGTGTTTTTCTCCAGGGGATGAAGGGGGCTGAAAATGGAAGTTCATACTTAGTGGGCACAGAATTCCAATTTAAAATAGAAAAAAAGTTATGGAATCAGATGATGGTATTGATTATATAACATTATTATTAAATTTAATATTTCAGAACTCTATAGTTGAGAATGGCTAAGATAAATTTTTGTGTACTATATCATGATACATTAATGTTTAAGAATACATAAAGCCAAAATTATATAAATAAAAAGTAGTTGATAACTTCAACATTCCTATCTCAGTAATCAATAGAACACATGGAAAGTGAAGCTATAAGAGAAGGGCTTATTGTAATATAATTTTAAAACACTGGCTCTAATCATTCTACTAGATTAGAAACATGGGAGCTGAAGTATTGATTAACTTAGACTTCTATGTAATCTCCTTATTTGATTAGCAAAATATGTATTAGTTGCGTTTGCAAAATTAGGCAACATAATCAATGTTAGATAGACACATCCACAAACACCCACACACACACCACACTCACACAAACTCAATCCCATTGCCTTCAAAATATGTTTTAGAAAGCTAACAATAAATAATACATATATCCAAATAGGGATATAAAACAGTAAGTTCTTTCATTGAATGATTTTAATATCTGCTTTGTATTCTAAGCATCAAACATTTTATAGCTAGAGAAGAATATAAAAGGAGTTTGATGAACTCTATGTATAAACTTAGGAAAATCTAGTTTGATTACCTGACTTTCCCAGATAGGCCTTGAATTGTCAGGAAACTTTAAATCACAATGGAGGAAGCTCCAAGGACAATGTCAGTTAGAGGTCTCTTGTGTCCCAAGCTGACTGATAATGTGGGAACTGTCTAAATACTCTTTTTGAACTAATTTGTTCCTCATTTATTCAGAGAAGAAGCTGAGTGTGGTGTTGGTGAAGCATGAAGAGGATGTCCCTGATGACTACTCTATACTCCCCACTGAGTGCTAGCTAGGTATTTTTATATCCCATGAAGCAAAACAATGATTGCTAATCTACCTGACTAATAAGGTCTTTGACCTAGCTCCTCCTTCGCCAACCCCAACACTAACTCTCATGGAAATACTTCCTACAGATTCCTGTGCTTCAATAGAGTTGAAGTGAGTCCCAGCTGAATAGATGAGAATCAAGTGGTATCCACTGACAATCTACCTTTTCTTTTCCCCACATAGGATGCTTTTCTGTCTTATAGTCCAGGAAATTCATCTGCCTCATTTCTTCAGAAAATTCCCCACAGTTTTCCCTCCTCACACTGAAAGTGAGGGGTGTCTTTGGGAGAAAAATAAAGTACAGAAACCCATTTTCATCTATGTTTCTGTGAAATGTTGCAAGGATGGAGCGGGGACCTTGCTAGGGTCAATAGATTCAAACAGAAGAATGGGGTACATGGGACATTCCTCAGAGGGGAAGCAAGAGCTAGACTGGGCTGTTGACTTCATTAACATCTATGGATGCCTTTAAACAGATATTAGTGTACTACTTGTTCCATTTTTGGTAGTTTGTCACCTGGCTGAGTTTTGATTATTGGAAGTAGTTGTATATGAACTTTATAGAAATGATTCCAATCTATAGGTAATTCTACTAAAACATGAGAGAAGTGAGGAAATGCTGACAAAAAGAAGAGCTTAGGCAACTGCACATATATTCAAAGGTTACTTCGGTAGAGAAAACTCATATGTTAAGTGGCCAGATGAAATATGCTTTAGAGAGACATAAACTCTCCAACCACCATAACTAATCACTTGTACAAAACATAGCACTTTATCATTCATAAGTTATTAACCATGGTGTTTATTAAGAGTTAGGCTCTGTGCCTTCTGCATGTCATGAAAATGGCTCATTTACATCATGTTTTCTTATTGAATTTCATGGTATGTACATATGCAATGATTGACATGATAAAAGCTCTAAATAACAGTTTTTTAAAAAATATTTTTCAAAACAAGAAACTCCACCATCTGTCAATTTTGAAGTAAAATTGTCTGACTATTTCAAATTTTGGAAATCACATCAATGATTATATAATTGAGATAAAAAAATTAAGCTAAAGAATTGTTTACAGAGGAGGTTTGGATAATCCTAACAGATTAAAACTCAAATGAGCTGCCTACTTGACAGGAGATCCATGATCACTGTAAATTTAAGAGGGTCTTGATATTTTCTGGAACAAGAGATATTAGTTAAACATAGGGGAAAAAAGGAAAGTAAAGAGTAACATCATAAAGCATCTGTCCTTGTTTCATTTTGCATGGTGTATATTAAATTGCTGCATTAACTTTCCACCCTGTTTCTTCTCTACCACTGGCTAATTTTGGAAACTGAATCTGAATACTCTAGTCAGGAGTTCTCTTCAGGAAAATAGAATCATTTTATGTGAAAAAGAGCCTTGGATTCTCACTTATGTATAATTCATTGGAAAATGAGGAAGAAACACTAAACAAAATAAGGAAATTGTATGAACAAAATGCACCTGTATATAGTTACATTAAAACATATACTTAGGTTGTATAAGGTTACCACTTTGGAAAATCTTCATTCACCACTTTCAAACTATTGGTTGTTCTTGTGAAATCTTGCCTGCTGAATAAGTGGTTTAACAATATGCTGTTTAATAAAAATAATTGTTGGTACCTCAGGTTTTCAGCACTCTTAGTACTGATGAAAATAATAAAGGAAATGGTAAAGAGATGATAAAGAAAAGATAGTTCATAAGTTGCATATGTCTTGATTACAAGTAAAGAACAAAAGAAGCAAACTCACCACCCAGATTTTTATAGTTTCTTCATGAAAGCATATGCTGAAGTCAGCAAGTGCAGTGAAGGAGTGTATCAAGATTCCCCCCCTGGAAAAATGCCAGTGGCTTACAGTACCAATCAGAGACAGGAAGCACTGAAACAGTTACTGAGAAGATGAAGAAGTAACAAAAATACAGAGAAAAGCATGTGCTGTAACTTAAACTAAAGTGAACCAGAATCTTCCTCTTTTTCCCTATGAAAATAGGGCCAAATGTTATATCATCTAGCCTTGATTTCCACCCTAGGCTCCAGCTTCCTTTCCCAAGGCAGTACTGTGTATCCTTTCCCTCTAGTTGACACAGAACTGTTCTTTGCTTCTAATTAACATAGAGACATTGCTGATTAAAGGTGGGGAAGCAGAGAACTTTTTCCATTTTGTCCCAAATTAGTTTGAGCTCACCCAAGATCAAAGGAAACTCAGACCTGAGAAAATAAACAGAGTGCAAGCAAGTACTTTGTTGACCTGATGCTATTTCTTGGAACTGAAATGACTGCAGCCCTTTTGGAAGGGCTGCTTGGCAATCATGACACTGCCAAGGGACCTGCTAGCCAGGGAATACATCAGGGCTCCCTATTTCTGAAAGTACATTTTGGTACAAGATTTTAATAACACAAAGTTCAGTTAGGACATTCCCAAGGTCCCCAGAAAGTGGATTCACATTGAAACGACCAAACACCACACACACTCACACTCACACACACACACACACACACTCCATTGCTTTATGCACAATGGTTTACTTTCCTGGGGTCTTCCTCTGTGTCTCCTCAGAACAGCTCTCTGTTGCTAGTACCTGAGCTACTTATTTAATAGAATGTGCTAACAAAACAGCTTCAGTGCTAGAATGCTTGCCTAGCATGCACAAGGCCTGGTGTTCTATACTCAGCAGCACAAAATTAATACACACACACACACACACACACACACACACACACACACAAAGAGCTTGCTTTAGGGTTCATGATATATTTGCATTCATACTGTATTCAAAATATCAGGCTATTTTTCTATAACCCCTTATCTTTTATGACATTTCTTTTTCTTTTTTTTTAAGCAGTGACAAAAATCTACCCATCTAATTTCCTACTTTCCTTTAACTAAAGTTTCTGGATAAAAAAATGCAATTAAAACAGAGGATTGGATAGAACATAAAAGTGAGCATTTTGGTTTTGGGATTACTGTGAAAGTTTGAACTAAGAAATGGCCAAAAGCAAGTTTGTACACTGTACTGTAAATGTATTTCTCCCCAATTCTAAACAAAACCACATTTATCACAGCACAAAGTCAGATTTCTCATGATGTACACAATAAGTTCCAAACGGAACACTTGGTGGTTAAGATGTAAGGTTTCTCAAAATATAATTGGCACTAGTTCTATATCATCAAATTTAAAAATAAAATTAATGCATATTTGCCAGTTGTTTACTTTGAATGAGTGAGCTGAACTATATTCTTTTCTTCTCTACTCTAATGAGAAAGGAGAAATCCATATATTAACAAAGACACAAATGGGTTCATGAAAAAGATCTTCAGGGTCAAACTTGTTAAACATAATGAGTACAACAAAGAAGAAATAGAAATTTTTAGATATAGATATTATACAAGATGTATAAATCACTTGATGGATTCTTGAATCTTCTGTTTGGCAGAATTCTATCTTAGGAAATTTTTTAACTAAAGCTAAAAACTCAATAAATCTTTTATGGTGTTCATTTTGTATTTGTTTCTATTCTTGGGATAAATGAAAAGACAAAGTGAAAAAGGAGAGGATTAATAGAAAGCCAATGACACTGTATACAAATTGAATGGAACTCTTTTAAAGGGATATTATATTGGCTTACAGTGTGTCATTTTTCCTTTCATATATTTTTGCACATATTGAATACAATTTTAAATTTGTATCTTTTTACTTAGTATATGTATTATGAATTGAGTTTTTCTTTGTTTCTCATTACAAAAACATTAGGAAAGCTTATGACTTTGAACATTTAACTTAATTTAATTTAATTTATTTATTTACGGTACCGGGCATTGAACTCAGGACCTTGTGCTTATGAGGCAGGCGCAGTGCCCCTGAGATAAATCCCTGGCTCCTGAAAATTTTATTTTCATAATATTGTTTCAGTTACTTTTCTCATTGTTGAAACAAAATACCCAACACCCAAAATTAAGGGAGGAAAGGGTTATTTGGCTCACAGTTTGCAGAGATTGTGGTCCACAGTTGGCTGGCTCCAAGGCAGGGTGGTGTGGCAGAGGGCACTGCAGAGCTGGCAGGCAGAAGGCAGCAAGCAGCAAGTAACAAGTGACAAAGGAAGGCCCTATTTCTTTCCCTTATATCTCATCCAGCCTACCCACCCAGGGTGGGCCACCCTTAATACTACCCAGAACTATGGCAAACTCATTAGGGGAATAGTTTAGTACTCACACATCCTTTCTCCCAAAATCACATACTCTAGATCCAGCCACCTCTAAAAAGCCCCACCTATGACTGCATGAGGCTTTGGAGGGACATCTGGACACAAGCTATAATAGATATAAATAAATTTTATTGTATATATTTGAGATTTATATTATGACATTATGGGACACATATAGATAGTAAAATAGTTATGATAGTGAAGAAAATTAATGTCTATCATCTCATGCATACTTTGTGAGATTACCTGAAATCTATTTATTTTACCCAAATCTTTAATACAGTGCAATTTTATTAACTGCAGCATAGTCCTTTGATTGCACATTAGATATCTAAACTTACATGCCTACTATTTTGTGTCCCTTCACCGGCCATCTCTCCATCCCCCAAACTCCTTTCAGGTACCCACTATTCAATTTTCCTATTTCTGCATTCTTTGTTTTGGTTACATTCTAGGTAGAAGTAAGATCAGGCAATCTTTTTCATTGTGAGTCTGGCATTTTTCACGTAATATAATGCATTCCAGGTCTATGCATGTGCGGTAAATGGAAAAATCTTCACTTTTAAAGTCATATGACATTTC